CAGATCATGGACTTCGAGAGGGAGACATGTTTTATAGGTATAATTGTCTTTTTAGTGATTTGTTTGTAAACAGTTTTGAATATATGACTTTTTGTAATTGAAACTAGTTTGTTATGACTTTTTCGCAAAAAACTCAAAATTAAATATGATCATGGAAACATTTTTACGTTCGTTTAGAAAAAAAAAAAAACATTTTTACGTTGAAAAGAAGGAGCCATGATCTCTATTGTTGTTGTTGACTTTTTGAAAAGAAATGCAATTCTGATGGTCTCTTAACTCGAGATCCATCTCTCCGGCTAACACGGACCTGCATCCCACCAGCCATGTGAGCCGTGAGCATTGGTACAAAAACCGGTTTATCGGTAGCGATCGGTTCGATCTCAAACCGGTCAAGCATCGAAGCGACAACGTACTTCATCTGCACGTACGCCATCTCTTCCCCGAGACAAACCCTCGGACCGGCTTGGAAAACCGGAAACTTAAAGGGATTCACTTTCTTCAAAACTCTGGTGGTTTTAGACTCAACCCACCGGTTTGGCTTAAACTCATCACAGTCTTTCCCCCAAAGCTCCTCCATTCTCCCCATACCGTATGGAAAATACGTTACCCGGTCTCCGGCACGCACCACCGTACCGTCTGGTAACCGGTCATCGGTTAAGGCGTGTTTGGAATCCCACGGCACCGGAGGATACAATCGCATCACTTCACACAAGCACGCTTTCAACAAACTCAGTTTCTTCAACGATTCGTAATCCAATCCACCGGTTCTCTCCGACCGGATTTCACTAACCAGATCGTGCTCCGTTTCCTCGTGACCGGGGATTATCCAAAACAACCGCGTGATCACCGCCGATGTGGTGTCCCTCCCGGCCATTACGATGCTGATCACCATATCTCTCACCGTCTCGTCGCTTTCTCCGGAGGCGATCAACCGCGACAGAAAATCTCTGTTCGCACTACTCTTCCTCTTCTTCTTATTCTCTTGAATGATCTCATCGACGCAGCGACGAACTTCTCCGACAGCGTTTCTGAGGTCTTTCTCAGATCCAAATCCGACCATTCTCTTGAGCTTCCACACGAAAGACACCGGTGCGGATCCGCGTCCGGCGCTAACCGCAGATGCAGTCTGAAACGCCCGATCGAACTCAGAAACCGGAGAGGACGGGTTTAAACTGCATCGATGATCGATCCCGAGGAAAACAATGCACACGATGTTGAACGTGAACCTCCGGAGAAGCTCGTGGAGATCGAAAGGCAGCGAATCTTGTGCGGCGGCGTCTTCCAAGAAGGGCAAAAGCTCGTTCTCGACCTCGTCTCTCAAAACGGTGACGTATTCTCTGAGAGACTTTGGGGTGAAATCATGAGCGGCGAGTCTCCGCTGCTTCAACCAGAGGTTTCCGTCGACGTTGAAGATGCCGTCGCCGAGAAAGTCGCCGAGAATATCGGTAAAGGGTTTGCCTTTGGGGAAGTTATCGAAGTTTGTTCTGAGGATATACTCTACGTTCGATGGGTTCGCCGTCACCACGGTTCTCCGGGCGGCCAACCGGTGAATCACTACGGTCCCACTTGGGGATTCGGTTAGGAGCTCCGTGTACCAATCAAGTAACCGGTTCCGGTTCGTGTAGAACGAAATCAAGCATCCGATAACCGGGTATGTTCTCGGTATAGCGTTGCGGCGAGGATATATTAGAGATTTTCCGGTTAAGACTATCGAAAGCACAATAAGGAGGAGAAGAAGAAAGATAGCTGGAGCTTCCATTGTTATTGTTGATGAGAAGAAACGACAATCGA